TTTTTCTGCTAGTTGAAGGTCTATACCAATATTCCATAATGTAGAGGATACCTTTCTGGATACCCTTTAAGTACTACTAGTGGGTCCACTAGCTTCTTTCTTTTCTTTGTGCTCCGAATCGATCTTTTGGCATTCTTTGTCTGTACAATAGAAGACAACGAAGATATGCTTAAAACTATTGTATTAAATGTAACAAACGCTGAAGGCTGGGTGCTGAAAGTCGCTCTGAGACCAGCTTTAGATACTAATAGTGAAACCGTTTAACACAATCACTCTCCGACAAACAATTTTAACGTCTCCATTATGATTAATCTTTCTCTTTTTCATTTAAACACGTTTCTCTCTTTTTCTACTCTTTCCTACCTCTCCTTCGAACCCCTCTTCTTGTTCGTTTGATCCCGATTCATTCCTAACCTTTTTTCTCCTTTTACTTGTTTTCACTCCTGTTCCCCTTCCCTTCATTTTCTTCTACCACCTCCCCGTTTTCTCCTCTACCTTCCTGCCACACCCTCATTTTCCACTCTTTGCCGTCTCTGATTTCCCCCATTCTTCCCATCTTCCTGTCTCTGTATTTCCCCTTCCTCACCATCTCTTTACCTGCATCTGCATCATCGTCTCCTCTTGCGAAGCCTTTCTTGGACAGTGAATGTGAAGCCGCGACTCTGCATACTCAAGTTTTACTCGCAAGCTTCCCGTTTTCTTGAGTGTCAAGTAGCGGTCAGGCCATTGCGACGAGATCTGTTCAAGTTAAAAAATGGATGAAAAAGCCACAAGGGAAGAGTGGCACTGCTTAAGGTGTGAATGTTTACCTAGCTTCAGCGATGAAATGAATAAATGGATTCCTAAACGCCCTGGGTTTAAATACTAAAGCTAGTCGGATTTATACTTCATTTTCGACTCATTTGCACGAATACACTTTGCTTAGCGTGACTCCTTTACCTGCTTCATGAGATCGTTGCACTTCGCTGCCACGGCTTTCGCAGTTGCTTTGGAATCATCATAGTTGAGATTTATGTGCTTATATTTAGCGTTAATGCTCTTAAATACGTGAATCTTGAAATCATCGACTTTCTTTGCATACGACTGAAGAGCCGTAATGCCATCCCACGCCGAGGTCACTTGAGGGATGTCAAAGAGCATTTTACAGGCAACTTCTTCAAGCTTCTTGAACTTTTTTTCCTCGTTTTTGCTGTCGATTCTCTGGCTCTCGAGAATGGTTGCGCCCAGCACTAACATCAGCGCGCTTTCCATGATCGTCTGGGACAGTTCCTCGAGCGCATTGTTGTGAGCGCCATTGTCCTCTCCTTCCTTCCGGCAGTCCTTCGTCGCGTTCTCGAGGTCGTCAATGACTGTCTGCAGGGCCGTCTGCACATGGCGTTTCCTCTCCGCCATGATCTCTTGAAACCGGTCGACCAGATGTCCCGGCCGAGGATGCAACTCCACCACACACTCCCCACACAGGGCGCAGAGGCACGTGGAGCACCAGAAGGCCAGACGCACGCCGGGGTGCCGCGCGCAAGTCCCTTCGTCTCCGCTCGGGGTCGCCCGCTTTTCCTCGCCCTGAAACATCGGTTCTTAAATGCACACGAGGTCTCTCTCTCGCGTTTTCCTTAAACAGAAGCTCAAATTTCAATGTCAAATGGCTGAAGTCAATAGACAACAGAACTGGGTGAATAAGACGGCTCTGCGTCTCTAAATAGCTCTTAATATAGGCCTACGATGCTGTCTGTTCATCACTGGTTTTTGACACTTTAGTAGATATATAATCATAACGTGATTTGCCCCATCTTTGGAAGTAAAGTATGGCCTTGGAAGACGCTAGCTTTATAAGTATCACAAAATAGTTTCCTTTGTCGTCATGGTAACTATAAACATCGGTGTGTGTGTGTGTGTGTGTGTGTGTGTGTGTGTGTGTGTGTGTGTGTGTGTGTGTGTGTGTGTGTGTGTGTGTGTGTGTGTGTGTGTGTGTGTGAGAGAGAAGAGAGATTTTTTGAAACTACTGGCGTAAAACTGTAATTATATGCAGTGCAGTTGCAGACTGTAGACGTAGTCTGTACAAACGCCAGTGTTCAGTGACACAAAAATTCATGCAGATGTTTATCTACAAATTCCTACTATCGCAAGTGTCTGCTTGTTAAAATCTGTACAAGTTTTATTGCAGTTGTCCCGTTCGATCCAGTGTTTTCGTTAACAGTTATGACTTAATAAACAGGACATGCCAATTATCATGACAGTTATACTTTTTTTAGACGGAATGTGCTAATAATTATTCAGTTTTAAAACATAATCAACCGGATGTGCCAATGATCCTTTAGTTATAAAATTCATTATTTTGACAAGATATACCAATTATTTATGACAGCTACAAAAAAAAATATTCATTAGGCCGGATGTGTTAATGACAGGATGCTTACCACTGAGAGAATCATCTCCAGCAGGGAATGGTTCACGTGGAGATCGTCTATGCTGTAGACTCCTTGCTTCATCCTGCAAAATGCGT